GTATATATATATATATATATATATATATATATATTGTATTGTACATACAATGCCAGAACACTGTTCATGATTTTTTGGGGGGCCTCATCTTAATTCAACATAATTCACTAAAACAGGAGAGCAGGATCCTCAACTTATCCTGTGTAAAAAGCTGCTCACCCCAAATAAGTCCCGTGGCCACTTGAGATGGGGGAAGCACGAGAAAACCGCACATGCAATTTCGCTTTGATGGGCTAGGCAACCCAGAAAATATGGTCAACAAGGACCGTCATTCAGGATCACAATTTCTTGCATGTAAGTGGGAAAACCCGTGAATAAAAGCTTGGTTACGTTGGGTACCGGGCCATTACCTTCTCCCGGCATTATCCGTTCATACCGCGCCATGCCGGACGGATACCTCGCAACATGAAATCTTACCACGGGGCTAAATGGAGAATCAAATGCCGTCGGGTCTTCGTACCGGATGGTGGTATCTCCACCACGCCGAATATGTCTTAAATGCGTGATATAAGCATTCATCTCATATAGAAGAGGTTACTAATTTGTTGACAGTTAGGTCCAGAAGCAAACCACATGAATCCAACTACAGTCAGTTGAATGTCAAATTGATACAAACAAGTCGGTTGAGCTTGTGTAGCGTAGTGGCGTAGGCAAGGGGGAGAAAAGAGGGTAGTTGCCCGTCTCCTTAGATCCTGACGGGCTGAAGGGCCCCTAGCGACCTACGATTACGGGGCCTGTTTCAAGACCCGAAGAGAATGAAAGCAATGCCGGAGATCGTACTTACAGGTCCAAGCCGCAGGGCGGGACACTGCCGTCCAGAGGACCCGCGCGCTGATCAGGGCTTCTTGAGTCGATAAGGGCGACCCATTACCAAGCAGGAACGAGGCCGGGGTCTGCGATTTGCAATGTTCGGGTCACTGACACGACGAGGATCTCCTGCGTCGGTCAAGGCCCACAGTACTTAAATGGGGTCCTGGGGCGGCAAGTGGCCCCGGGTCGGCCTGGAACGGTGTTGGAGGGGGCCCAAAAACGGGCTGAAGGGTCAATCGAGACCAAAGATCGAGGGGGTGGCTGGATAGCTGAAGGGCCCGAAGGTCACATTTGGGACTTCTGCCCCTAAAGCTGTGATCTCAAATGTCAGAGGGTTTTGTGACCAGATTGAGGAACCCTGGGGTAGACCATTTCGCCATTTTGGCCAGAGAGCACCAGCACCGAACAGTCGACTCCGTATTGGTCTGAGCTCTAGGCGCCCACTTACAAAGCAGGGACAAGGCCGAGCCCGCGAATTACATTGGTCGTAGCCCCTGCGACAATACGGGGCTCCTGTAGCGATAAGGGGTCCGCAGTGCCTAACAGGGTGTCCTGTGTTAACAAGGGGCCTTGAGTCGGCCAGGGGAACATTGCTGTACAGGGGCGGGGACGGGACCTCGAACACCAGAGGGCCTGTGAGAATGAACGGAAACGTGAAAACTTTTGCCATGTGTTCACTTGGAGCAATGGAAGGGCCCTGTGCCAGTCAGGGACCCCAAAAGGGAACGGTGGGCCCTTTAACCCAATACCAGCGTGGGTCCGCGAAGTCGAACTGCAGTCTCTGTGACAATTATTAGACCTCCTGCGGCGGACAGGGATCTTGTTGTGTCAATGAGGGTTCCTGCGTCGCGCCGTGGGTAACTGCGCGGGTCAAAAAGCTTTCCGTGTCAGGGAAAGGACTCATGGGATATGGTGTATCCCTCTAAGGACCTCCAGATGGGCCAGGAGATCCGCCCCGTGTCGACAGAATGGGGGCGGAATTGTCCTTCAGTCCTTGACCGGGAACGATAAATGTCCCTAGTATTCTTCTCAGTGGGTCTCTTGCCCAGAAAGAAATGAAGGGTCGAATTAATGTTGAATATAGTGGGTCGAAATGTGTTTAAAAATGAACAAGAACATCGAACGTTTGCCTGACAACGTTCATTATTTTGCAGAGTCGACTAGTGAAACGCTTTATGTTAAAAAGTTTCACCCTGCGCGCCCGCAATCTTGTGAGCGATCCCCGAGTGCAGCGATCCCCGAGGCTGCAGTTACTGTAAAGCCAAACTGAGTTGGCCGCTGCAAGTAACACCAGGCGGCGGGTGCCGCGCGCACGAGAATGACCGTCGTAAATTTATGATACGGCATGTCCTTAAAACGTACCGTTCGCAGATAAGACTGGGTGCATTTTTTAAGATAAGTTCGAGGTCGTCCTCTGAACAGATTAACAGATGCAGTAACACGAAAAATAGGGATTCTACCTTTACTCTTACAGTTGCACCACCAGATTCCAGCACAATTTCGCGGGGCAGTGAAGGCTAATCCGCTCTAATCATCAATCTGAAAATTGCACAGGTGAAACGTACCCCCAGACTACCTTCTAAATGTACGATTTGAAGTTCTAAAGCGTGCAAAGGCACTTTTTCCAGATGTGTCACCATTTTTGTTTCGCCATTGGAACAGTTTAGTGTTAGTCGCGGAGCCGGCGTTGGGTGACCGAAGGAGACTGTAGCACCTGGCGTCGAGCTTTTTGTTGCTGAGATTTGCGAGCGCGCGCGTTTAAAACTGCACTAGGTAGATTGTAACACCAATCGATTCTAATCAAATGTTGAGCATTTCCAGAAAAAAACGTTTGGTCTGGGTCTGACGTTTGGTCTGACGTTTGGTGTAGTCAAGTGTCTAACGCGTTAAAAACATCGGAGCAGGTTCGAAAGTGTATTGTGTGTTTGCGAAGTGAAATGACCTACTCGGCTACGTTTCAACGACGCAAGGAACAAAGCTCTTGAAGCTTCCGCAAGTTATCATCTTCTTTCTGCACACAGAACTATTAGATTCAGCGTGATGACAACCCTTTGGATATGAATATTCGGCAAAAATAAAAGGCCGCCCCCACTGCAAATATGTGAATTAATCCACTTGCGCAAACTGGAGGCCCTGGTAAGGGTAAAATTTAATCCTGGAAAATGATGTTGTTTTCATCA